GGTTCAGCCTCCTGATGAGTCGGTGAAACTCCGACGAAACAGTTTGTCACAGCCCCTCGTTTGTTGTCCTCTTCTCTCTCTCTGCCTACGGTTTACCGGGCAGTTCTATTTGTGACGATATATATATTTATATATATATATTTTTCATCAAAGATTGCTCTGAGAAGATCCAGAAGTGAGTGCCAGTGCGATGATTTAGAAGCTCTTGGAAACGAGGCAATCACCCTTTCCACCTCAAAAACGTTGGGAAACCCAACCCACGAATGGATTGGGACTTTCGCTCCCGAAAACGGGATGTCCAGCTGAAGATTTTAACAAAATTGTCACGCTCTTGTCGCTCGTCATTTCAGCAGAGTAGATCGCTCAATCGAACTCCCTTCCTCACACTGCCATCTGCAACAAGCACTTTCATCCTGCAAACCCTGAATCACAATTTCCCAACTACCCTAGACATGCCGCTGGCTTGCCAAATATATGATCCGGTAGGTCAATCACCAAACCATAAATTCGTATTTCCTTTCCTCCTCGCAATTCGTGGAGGCAATGGAAAGCTCAGTCCAAGCTCGATACACAGCAAGATTGGCGGCAAAATAACGGGCAACGGACTGCCTTGCTCCCACGCCTCCGGAAAGAACGCGCGTATCTCTGCGGGACCCTAACTAAAGCTCTCAACGACAGACAAAACTTCAGATCTCACGTCGACCTCCAGCTTCGTGGATTGCATCCCTGATTTCGCAGGTATCTCCTTCCTATCCCCCCCTCTCTCTCTCCAATCGTCTTTCATTTTCTAGATGATACCCATCTTGTTCGTGATGTCCAGTGCATTGTAATCCGGCGTCAATCGCACGTAAGCCTTCTTCCGTCCGGCCGACCGGATAAGCGTGTTGACTTTCTTGCACTGGGTATCGTACATCCTCTTGACAGCGTCGGAAATCATTTTCTTGTTGTCTCTCACGTCGACAATAAACACAAGCGTGTTGCTGTCTTCCATTTTTTTCATGGCCGATTCGGTCGTGAGAGGGTACTTAAGTAGCAAGTGGTCAAAAGATGATTGCCCCGAGGGGCGGAGTGGGGAGGGTACTTTGGGTTTCTTGTGCGCATGAGAGTTTTGGGAGGATGAAAGACGACGGACGTCCGGCGTTTCCACTGCTCTGCTACTTCGTCACAATTTTCTTCAAAGCCTTCGTGGCGTTCACCACCTTCGTCTTCGAGTCCACGATTTTCTTCTCTTGGCTCTGTGGAGGAGCCATGGCGACCGCACTCCGTTCCTAGCGCCGCAGCAGTGAACTACCCAACCTTCCTACCCACCTTGCGCTGAACAAGATCCAAGCATCTGTATGTTGTGGGCCCTCTGCTGTGGTTCCGTTTCTTTTACTCTTGATTATTATATTTGGATTATTACTTCGTATCTGTTGGTAGTGTCGAAAGCTTTATCTGTCCTACAAGTGAGGTTTGGTTTCCTCCTCCTTGTCTTTACCTCTTTGCCTTTTGGCTGCGTGCAAGTGGGTCCTTGTGACACACGGGGATGGGGGCAGCCAGTGCTCAACCATCATCCACGCGGCCGGCCTTGTACGTAAGAGGTGATGAACAGGCGGAGCTTAGCTTTCCAACCTTCTTTCCGTTTTGGTTTTCTTTTCTCTCCTTTTTTTCAGTATTCCCCCCCCCCCCCTACGCAGATCGACTGCCACGTTCCAAGCATCCGGGTAATTGGGACTCTCGCAGTAAAACGTTTTTCTACTGTTGCTTTGTTATTTTTTACTGTCGGCAGTAAATTCATTGTGCATCGTGGTGAAGATTCTTTACCTGTAGGGCTTGGCTGTGCCTGACTGACCTCGTGTGCGGTTCTCTGTTCTGTCTAGCACACCAGGGAAGCAACCGCGGAAGGACGGAGAGGAGGGAAGAGCTGGAGGAAAGGTGACATAGGAGGGGAGAGGGAGGAGAGGAAGAAGGAACGCCGAAAAAAAAAGGAAGGTCGTCCTGTCAGATTCGTCAGAAGATTGAATTGGGTTGGGCTATACTTAAGGAAAAAAGAAGAAATACAGGGAAGGAGAGAAGATTTCACGATGCCTGCGGTGGTGGAGCCTTTGCTGGCTGAGAACAGCCAACGGTTCTGTATGTTTCCTATCAAGTATCCGTCCATCTGGGAGTTTTACAAGAAAGCGGAAGCAAGTTTTTGGACGGCGGAGGAGGTTGATCTGTCTCAGGATCTAGCGCATTGGGATGGGCTGAACAAGGATGAACGGTTCTTCATTCTTCACGTGCTGGCGTTTTTCGCCGCGTCGGACGGTATCGTGTTGGAGAACCTGGCGATCCGGTTCATGAAGGACGTGCAAGTGCCGGAAGCTCGCGCGTTTTACGGGTTTCAAATTGCCATCGAGAACATCCATTCGGAGATGTACAGCCTGTTGCTGGAGACGTACATAAGCGATCCGCAGGAGAAAGCTCGTCTGTTCAACGCGATCGAGACGGTCCCTGTGGTGAAGAAGAAGGCGGATTGGGCCTTGAGGTGGATAGGGAGCTCGAGCACCTTCGGGCAGAGATTGGTGGGTTTTGCCGCCGTGGAGGGGATCTTCTTCTCCGGCAGCTTCTGCGCCATCTTCTGGCTGAAGAAGAGGGGCTTGATGCCCGGTCTCACCTTTTCCAACGAGCTGATTTCCCGGGACGAGGGTTTGCACACGGAYTTTGCCTGCCATCTTTACTCTCTCCTCCAGACCAAACTCCATCCGCAAACTGTSGAAGACATCATTCGCGACGCCGTCGCCATYGAGAAAGAGTTCGTCTGCGAAGCTCTGTCTTGCGACCTCGTCGGAATGAACGCCGCTCTGATGAGCCAATACATCGAGTTCGTGGCTGATCGCCTTCTTGTGGCGCTGGGATGTCAGAAGGCGTACAACGCCCAAAACCCGTTCGATTGGATGGAGTTGATCTCCCTCCAAGGGAAGACCAACTTCTTCGAAAAGAGAGTGGGAGAGTACCAGAGGGCGGGCGTGATGGCGAACCTAAATAGCACGGATGCCGTAGGGAACAGGGTCTTTAAAACGGACGAGGACTTCTAACGAGTAAAACACGTTCTTGGATGTCAGGAGTAGGAAGCAGATCTAGATGAGAGGACAGCAGAGGAAGAAACAGCGGGGGGATGACGAGTAGAGGCTGTAGGTGAGGGAGAAAATGGGGCAGGAGGCGGAGGCGTCAGAGGAAGAGAAAAGCGGAGGAGAAGGGGGACAGGTAGCAGAAGAGGGATCTGAAGGCGCCTGAAGAGGAGGGAGTTGAGGGACAGATAGACGAGGGGAAGGAGGACGTGGAGGGAGAAGAAGAGATGGGAGAAAACGAGGAAGAAGACGGAAAGTGGAAGATGAACAGAGATCAGAGGACCGAAGAGGAGAGAGGAGGAGAGACAGAACGGTAGCGGGAGTGTGACATGTTAGAGCCTTTACGAACGGTTGCAGTAAAATTGGACGGTGGTTTTCAAGGTACAGCGAATAACGAGGTGTCTTTCTGCTTCTGCCTCGCCTACATGCGCACGGAAGAGAGAGAGAGAGAGAGAGAGAGAGAGAGAGAGAGAGAGAGAGAAGTTTGTAGATTCAATGTCCTGCAGATACGGAATTCGGAATGTCATCGTGGTTGGGCGAATATGGTCAGGTAGTTAGCCGATGACAAATCGGGAGGAGATGAAACGGCATTGCACTCTTCAGGTGATGGCTCAGCAATGAGTTACATTCTTGGATGGCGAGGAAGGTTGATGCTCTACTGCTCAGCTGATATCACATGGCCAGTCGGCTGTTTCCAAGACGTATCAGCGGGCATCTGGTCACCTGTGATGATCAAATCGAGGTTAGGTGATATGCTGTGATGGGACGCAGGTTGTCTATAATGGTCCTTCGATCTTAGCTACTCGTGGATGAGCAGCGGTTTCTTTTATTTGGTGTGACTCGTTCGGTCGCTTCTTTATCTCTTGGCTCTTACTTTGCGGTAGAGGTTAATTGTTAGTGGAGAGGTAGCCTATATTACCGCACCTTTGCATTTTGTTAACACATTGCTCTGGCGCCTTCACACACACACTTACACACGCAGACCCAGACACAGAGAGAGAGGGCTCCAAGAGCTCTCAACAAAGAAGGGGGTTGAAGCTGGTCAGGTGCGAGGAAGGATCTTGAAAGAGAGGCGATTGTGAGAGTGCAACATTCGTCTCGTGGTTCCGGTTTAGGTTCAGCCTTGGCCCCTCGGGATCTGCTATGGGCTCGGTAAAGCATGCCGTTCGCTGATTGTCCAATTGCATTCGAAATTCGAATATGTAATTATTGACGCAACAACGTCAATTCCTGAATCGCTGTCTTTATTAGGACTTCTTCGGACTGATGTTTCTTGTATACACCGTTTGTTGCCTGTCAATCTGTCTGTCTCGGTCTGCCTCTGTGGCTACTCCCCCTCCCTTTTCCCCCACCCCCCGCAACCTGCCTCTCTCTCTCTCTCTCTCTCTCTCTCTCTCTCTCTCTCTCTCTCTCTCTCTCTCTCTCTCTCTCTCTCTCTCTCTCTCTCCCCTGCTACCCGAAGGTGACTTCTGTTTGAGAACGGGCATACATATATTCAGAAAATCTTGAAGGATTTTGAAGGAGGGAATCAATCTTTAAAAATGGCATTGTGGGAACTAATTCAACTGATGAAATCAGTTTCGCATGTGATCCCAACAATGATCCCCACAAGGATCTGGCAGTCCGAACATGTTCTCTCTTTTTTCATCTTTTTTTCATCTTTTCTTTTTTTTTGCGAACATGTGCTCTCAATAGGAATGTCGTACAAAAAATATTGTGGAATGCTGGGCTCCCAATCGCTCTGCCCATGTCACCTTCATGGTCCAGGCTGCCCTGGCGGGCAAAGGCCAGGGGGAAGGTCCCTGCGAAAAGATAAAAATCCGAAAGATTTGAACAAAAGGCCCCGCCCCATCTCCGCATGCACAAAAGACAAAAATTATGGCGGTGTATTGTCGTTGTCACCTTCGTGCGTGTGTGTGGAGGGTGTATGCGTGTGGGTGTGGATTGATTGACGGCTTGCACACACACGGAGAGAGAGAGAGAGAGAGACACTGTTGCATACTCGTGAAACACAGTCAAAAATATGGCGCAGATTCCCAGAACCGACCAGATCTACACCTACTATAAGAACTGCTAAACGTCATATCTGACGGCCTGAATCGCAGGCCGGTAATGCGCCGCGGACGGCCCAGACCGCAGGCCGATCAGAAAACTTTCTGATCGGCCTGCGATCTGGGCCGTCCGTGGCGCGTTACCGGCCTGCAATTCGGGCCGTGAGATATCGGGCCGAGATATCGCTACCGGAGGCTACCGGAGGCGCCCGTTCGCCCGCCCGTCGGCCCGTAATCGTGGCCGCCCCCCCCCCCCCCCCCCCCCCCCCCCCCCCCCCGGCCCCGGTTAGGCCCCCCCCCCCCCCCCCCTTTTTCCTTTTTTTTTTTTTTTTTTTTCCTGATCAGAACGGGTACTACACTTGCCACGCCCGTTTTGCCTTGCCAGCCCACCGCTCCAATCGCCCTCGCCCGCGCACGATGTTGTTGCCGCCCAAGGCCACTTCTCCAATCGCCCGGCACTTCGTCTCTCTTTCTCGACGTGCGCCTGTGTGCTCCGTGGTCCGGCACTTCGTCTCTCTTTCTCGACGTGCGCCTGTGTGCTCCGTGGTCCGTGCGCGTGTGATCGCCGGTCGGTGCTCTACGCTGGGTCGGGCGTTACGAAAGGAGGGCCGCCAGTTGAGGGAGGAAGGGGCAGGTAGGGAGTACAACGGAGGGAGGAATGGAAGGAGGTGGTCAGGTGGTGATCAGGCTGAGGAAGGAAGGGGAGGAAGGAGATTGGGGGAAGGAGGGCAGACAGAGATCGGGCGAACGAAGGGGGCTGATGAAGGGGAATGAGGCGGCCAGGCAGACGGAGGCCAGTGGGAGGTTGAAGAGAAAGTGCGGAGGAGGCCAGCGGGCAGGGGAAAGGCGGCAGAGAGTAGGGCGGAAGCAGGAGTTTAGGTAGAGATCGGGCAAAGGAAGGAAGGCGAGGAAGGAGATTGGGGGAAGGAGGAGGTCAGTGCAAGTCGGGCAGAGGAAGGAGGAGGAGGGAGGAGATAGAGGGAAGGAGGTCAGGCGGAGATTGGACGAAGGAAGGGAAGTGAGGTGGCCAGGTGAAGGGAGGGCAGAGGGAGGTTTTAAGAGAAGGTCAAGAGGAGGAAGAGAGAAGGGAGAAATAGGCCGGAGGGAGGACAGAAAGCAGAACGTAGTTAAGAGGTTGAGTGACATATGGAGGAAGGGAAGAGGTAAGGGGGGGACGAGCATGTGAAGAGGAAGAGGGGAAAGACGGCATGGTGAGGTCGGCCGGAGGGAGGGCAAAGGCTGGGTGGGGTACGGAGCAAGGGAAGAGGTCAGGCGAAGAGAGAGAGAGAGAGAGAGAGAGAGAGAGAGAGAGAGAGAGAGAGAGAGAGGCACACACAAATGGATTGGTGGGAGAAGGAGAATATAGAGGGGCGCGTGAGAATTGGGGAAATGAAGGGAGAGAAGGGCAGCAGAAGCCACAGTAGGACGGGGGAAGGAAATAATTTGAAGAGGCGCAGAGCGATAGCGCGGGTGGAGTTGGAGGAAGAGGAGGAGGGGGTGCATGGCACAACGTCATGGGAGGGAAGGGAGAGTCGAGGGGTAAGGATGGTACAGTGACAAAGGGGAAGAGCGGGAGGGATAGCGGTACATGTCATGGATGGGGGAAAGATGGGGGGACGGGGAAGGGGGACAGGGCTAAGGTGGAGTGTGGAAGGCCCAAAATCGCGCCGCGTGGTAGCGCCACGAGGA